AAAGGCACCGCTGCGGCTATTGAACTCATGAAAGACCTTTGTAGTCAGTGCTTTTTAGCCTCTCTCTCTCTCTCTCCCTCTCTCCCTCCTCCCTCCTCCCTCTCTCCCTTTATACTTCTCCCTCCTCCCCTCCACCACCACCACACACACACAAGCAAAAATTTAGTGTCTTTTTAAAATGGATTTATTATTTTATTGTCAGGGTAGATTAATTAACATTGAGATTAGCTCTAGTTCAAGTACATCAGAGACACAGATTTCCTCAATTAGCCGGGTCAGGGAGGAAGATAGGAACCAAGCCTTGAGAAGAGTTTTGTGGATGCCTGCCTCCCTGTCTCTTAGTTTCTTTCCTTCTACTCAGCCTGGGCCTGGGAATTTGCAATAAACTGCAGCTGCCTCATTACGAAGCCCTACTGGGGAGATGGTGTACCTTGACCACATTACTAGGCCCCTGTGTAATGGAAAATTGACTGGTGCTCTTCTGAGCAGTGACTTTTGGTTATTGTCTGTACCCCGCCTTTCCTCTGCCCCTCGCATTTCCCCACTGAATGACAGATTCCCAGGCACTTTGTACAGCAACTCATGCACACGGATTTGCTTCCATGTTTTCCACCCCCTGATGGAGCTGCACCACTCTAAAACCTTACATGTACGTGTGTATGTCTGTGTAGACATTGGTATCTTTATCCATACACTTTTAATCATGGCTGAGATATCATTTTCCAGTGCATCTGGTGCTCTGGAGTCCTTCTTTAATATCACTATTCTCCTTGGCACTGATCTAATAAGAGTTCTGAAACCTGCTAAGTACAATCATATGTGGAAATCTTCAGTACACATCTTTGTGGCTTTGGGGAAAGAGGGGAATTAGTGTGAAACCTGGAAATGTGTATTAAAGAGAAACCCTACATTTAAAAAATTAAGTAGCTGTCTTCAACTGATAAATTAATCTTGAAATTCTAACCATAATGTTCAAAATAAAGGCCCTGTAAGTGTTGCCACTTTGAAGAAAAGCAGACGTGCCTGCACGGAACCCTGCGTGGGAGCCGCACGCACAGGCCAGGAGGAGCAGCCGTGCTGGATGCCCCTCAGCCAGTGGCCTTCCCTCCTGGCCACTTTTAAAGTTTTCTTTTTATCAAATTTGAAAGCCTGTTTAACAGGCATTTTAGTTGAAAATGAAACTATATAAAACCCACCAAGACGATCTCTGTCTTTAAACAAAGTGAGTCCCAGATGGTTGCAGAGATGCCGTGGTTTCTGTGAGAGACAGTGAAATTCTCCCCAACCTCCTGGGGCCCAAAGGTTCTGAAGCAAGAGTGCCGTGGTGCACGGCCAGGCTGGCTCATCCGGAATGCGAACTGACTTCCGTACGGCCCCAGAGCTCTCGAATGTTTGCTTAAAGTTGGGTGATGCTGTGGCATCAAAATAGTCATCGTGAATGTGTGTTAACCCCTTGCATACACTAAAGAAAAACTTGCCTCCTAATTTAGGACCCATAGTTCAGTTGAGTGTTATGTTAGCTATTGTGAAAACATTGTTTTTGTCTTAAATATATATATAATGGCCAGAGTATCTAGGGGAAATATAACAGTTAAGCACAGCTTGGTTTTCACAGATGTATTCCTTCTAAAGAAAACTGAAAGGAATAAATCGTTGGAAAGTAAATGTTTAAGAAAATGCTAAACCTCACTATTCAAATAATGCAAGTTGAAACAGCAATAACAATTTTTCTTCTGTCAATACAACAGGTTCTTGGGGGTAAAACTATAGTTCTTAAATAGTCGTTCATGTTTGTGTAAGTAATAGTTCATTAAAAACAATGGTTACAAAATATCCTTAGTGACATAGCAAAAATATCAGTTAGGATGTTTTCAGCTTAAAGTTACAAAATAGGCTTTTTAATCTTCATGGCAGGTTATTGAGGCAGACACTGTTATGGTGGTCAGCTAAGCGCCTCGATGCTCGGCTGCTCTGCCGCCACGTGGTTTCCCTCCAGCTTCGGGATGGCCGCAGAGGGGTCTGCGTTCCTCTCCTAACACCTTCCAGGCCAGGAGAGAGGACTTGTCCCCCTTTTTATCCAGGAGCAAGCCTCCCCCAGAGCCTTTTAGCAGTCTTTCCTTACATATTGTTAGCCAAGAGTCCCACGTTTCTTCCTTAATCATTGCAAAAGGAACTACCAGGATTAGCTTATGCCAATGATGATACAGTACTCAGTACACTTCCCTGAATGCTTTGCTGATATTTGAGACCTAAACCAAGTCAGGGTTTTTAATAGCAAGGGAGGAGGAGGGGCCAGCTATTTGGAACAAAACCAGTGGTGTCTGCCACATTTACATTATGATGGGCAGCCTTTATCCTCTTTCTATAGTTCTAAGTTTTCTTAATCCATAGGTATCGGTGAGAGACTGTCAAGGTGATTATCTGCACAGACTCTGTGCCAAGTGGGTAATATTGGCAAGTCATTCACCATCTGTGCCTCCATTTTCTCCTTGTTAAGATGAGGAGTCATCGTAGCACCTATGTTATAAGGTTGCTGTGAGATGAAAAGAGTTAATTTGTGAAAGGCTGGTATTAGTCAGGGCTCTTCAAAGAAAGAACCAGAAGGTGTGTGTGCGCGCACAGATATTGACACACATATATTATGTATGCACGGACAGAAGGAACGGAAAGATTTGTGATAAGTTGGCTCACATGATTATGGAGGTCAGGAAGTCCCAAGATTCAAGGTCTGCAAGTCAGAGACCCTGTGGCCGGCGTGGAGGTCGAGTCCTAAACCAGCAGGAGGCCGGCCCAGGAAGAGCTGACGTTTCAGTCCACGTCCAGTGGCCGAGAAAACCAGTGTCCGGCTCCGGCAGTCAGCAGGCGGGGTTCCCCCCACAACTCAGGCCCCTCTGTTCAGATCCACAGTTGATAGAACGAGGCCCACGCTCATTTGGAGGGCAGTCTGCTTCACGCATCAGCCCTCTCAGATGTTAATCTCATCCAGGCAGCCTCCCAGACACACCCGGACCAGACCACGCGTGACCGGATCTGTGTGCCCTGACACATAAAATGAACCATCACATGCTTAGGCCTGTAACTCTGCAGTGTTTACACTAGTTATTATTTTATAACCTGAAATAATATTACGGAGAAGGAAATCCAGATGGGAAAGTCCTATTTCCCCCATTATGGTGAGTATTCCTATTATGGAAGGATTTGCTTTCTGAAAATATTCACTCTATAAGAACAAATTTTGCATTGTCTTTTCCATTTCAATCTATTTAAGAGAGATTTCTTAGTCCCTACTATGAACTATACTCTTAGCTGACTGAACAGTTGGGTAATCCATGGGGTTAATGAGTAATTCTGTGTGTTTTATAAAGATACATGCTTCTACACTATAGGAAAAACCTGAATAAAATAAAATACAACTAGGCATCTGAGTAACAAATTGTCTTATTGCGTAAGAATAGAATAAACCCTTGGAAATCAGCTTCAGCGAACAGAGTGACCACAACCGCCCTCTCAGCTACCAGAGGGAAGTCTTGTTTTCGGTCCCATCCTTTCTTTCTGCTGCATCATTTGTACCATTGACCACCTCCCCTTGGCCAGTCCCTTCCTGGGGCTCCCGCAGCGCTGCTCTCGCCTGCTCCACCCCTTCACCCCTTGTTCCCCCGTCCCAGTTTTGACTTCTCACCCGGAGAAGCTCTCCCTAAAGTGTTGGTCAGTTGCTGGGTTTGAGCCTCTACCTTATTTTCCAAGTAAACTATTTTCCTGTGAACATTTGCAAGTCTTTTATCTCCAGCCCTACCTTCCCTCTCAAGCATATATGGCCAGTATTTCTAGCTGGACCTGCACCCCCCCCCCCAACTGTCTCTCCTTTGAATGCTGCAAACTCTCTCCTTTTAAGCCTCTTTTCTTCTTGCACTCTCTAAGGTAATAACTTTTTTCTTTTTCTTTTTTAATTGAGTTTAGGGGGGGAGGGAATGGAGAGAGAGAGAGAAAGAGAGAGGGAGAGAGAGAGAAAAAATGAATTTGTTGCTCCATTTATTTATGCATTCATTGGTTGCTTCTTGTATGTGCCCTCACTGGAGATGGAACCCGCAACATTGGTGTAACTGGATGACACTCTGGCCAGCTGAGCTACCCAGCCAGAGACTTCATTTCCTTCCTTCCTTCCTTCCTTCCTTCCTTCCTTCCTTCCTTCCTTCCTTCCTTCCTTCCTTCCTTCCTTCCTTCTTTTTTTAAATCCTCACCCAAGCCTATTTTTCCATTACTTTTAGATAGAGTGGAAGGAGGGAGGAAAAGAGGAGGAAGGAGCGAGAGAGAGAGACATTGGTGAGAGAGACATCTATCAGTTGCCTCCCACATGCACCCCAACCTGCAACCCTTCAGAAGTGATGAAGGCCTTATTTATTTATTGTCTTTTAGATTATCATCTGTGGAAGACAGATCATCTGTAGTTACTTGTCTCAAAGCATAGAACTGAAAGTCGTCCAGCATTACATGGGTCACGATGGACAAGCTGTGGTTCGAGAACATTTTGACTGCCTCACAGCCCAGCAGAAGTTGCCTTCCTACATCCTGGAAAACAGTGAGCTGACGGAGCTGTGTGTGAAGGCCAAAGGAGATGAAGACTGGTCGAGGGACGTGTGCCTGGAGTCCGCCGCCCCCGAGCACAGCGTTGTCATCCAGGTACGAGAAGTGGCACGATCGAGAGGAGAGCAGCTTTACAATTAAAACTGTCAGGATGTCCTGTATTCAATACAGACCTCTGATTAAAAGATGACTTATTCTGGGAATATGAAGGACGTCTGTAATGCTCTCAGTAATAAAAATAAAAGGCAGTGTATTCAAAAGAGGGGAGACCTGAAATAATGCGAAGTGGCGTTGTGTGTTGCTTCTCAGACTTCCTCCCCATCCCAGGACCACACGTGTGTATCCGGTCCAGGCGTTCGTGTAGCCAAATGCTGCCCCTCCCAGAGGAAGGCGAGTTGTATCTTGAAAAAGCTGCTGGTGCACAGGCTTTGTTGGGAAAAAGAGTGTCCTCCCCACTCAGGAATCTGTGATGACCTGTGACTTTTTTAATCTCTCCCTCAATCTCCACCATCATCACTTTCATCCCCATAAAGGACAAATCCTCTCTTCCATTCTCCCACTCTGTCTCATATCAGTCTCTCCCCGTAGAAGTCCCCTCGTCTTGATGGAAACAGTTGCCCCCATTAACTCACTGCACATCCACTTGATGCCATAATGAAGTCTGTTTTTGCTTAGTTTTCTTTTTTATGGCTCTTTTCTATAACTTCAAACCTTTTAATCCTCCCACCCGGTATTATATCTGTGCCTTATTTTCATTAATCAGTGACCTGGGGTTTGATGGGACCCTTTTCTATGCCACCTGCAGGTGCCATCTTCAAACAGCTCCATCATTTACGTCTGGTGCACTGTTCTGACTTTGGAACCCAACTCTCAAGTGCAACAGCGACTGGTGAGTGCTTCCCAATCCTAAAATATGGTATATGACTCTGACCTTTTCTGTTCTGAAATAAATTAAGGTCACAGTGACCCAAGGAAGAGATTTATGACGTTTGTTTCGGCATCAAACAGCTGGAATACTGCAACAAAGCAAATATGAAAGTTCTTCTGTCCTTTTATTTTTTACAGATTGTGTTCAGCCCTCTCTTTATCATGAGGAGTCATCTTCCAGACCCCATTATCATACATTTGGAGAAAAGGAGTCTGGGATTGAGTGAAACACAGATTATTCCAGGAAAAGGGCAGGAGAAACCACTGCAAAACATAGAGCCTGACCTTGTGCATCACCTCACATTTCAAGCAAGGTACTGGGAAAATCCTTGTATTTTCCTAAGAGAAGTTCAGTAGAAAATTAACCTATTGAGAGGAAGAGGGAAGATTGAGGTTTTTGTATGATATCTTATGATAATGTTGTTTTAAAATTATCCTGCCGACTGTTCTATAGTTTTAAATAAAATTCAGCCTTTTTTTTATTAAGCTTAGAAGTAAACAAGAGGGATTATCAGAAAATTTAATTGGCACATAATTTCTCTCACAGAAGAAGAGATGAATAGAGACCTCACCCAAGCACGGTTGTGGTCGGGGGAGGGGTAGGAAGAGGAAGAAGCCAGGGCCAGTTCATGCAAACACCAAAAGTTGACTCAACCTCACAAAAGAAATACCGGACTATACTACCTTTCTACTTAAATCTTTTCCGTAAGTTGCAGACCACTGTGGAAACCTGATATTCTTGCTTTTTCTCCCCACTTCCCAGAGAAGAAGATGATCCTTCACATTGCGCTGTCCCCATCTCAACGTGCCTCGTTAAGCAGATAGCTTCGAAGGCGCACCCGGGAGGTCCCATTCACCAGATCCTTGATGACTTCTACGGGCCAGAGAAGTCCCTTCACCCCCTGTGGCCCTATAGCAGGAAGGATACTGACAGGTAATGTCCTCCAGCAATCTTTTTCTACAAACATTTCTCAATATTAAGTAATAAAAGACCATTCACAACAGAGTTAGATATCCAAAATAAAAGGTGTGTTTGTAAGAAGATACTTGCCTGTATGTGTCAGATTCCGCCCTTTTATCATCCAGTAGATGTGTTTTGTAGATGACTTTACTCATAATCTGGCACATAATTGCATGAAAAGTTTCTCCTGGTGCACACCCAGCATTAGATAATGGTGGTGTGAAGAGGTGTCCTGCCGGACACGGTGTGTCTGGGGTCTTTAGCCATGTTTCCTGAACACTGAAGTAGCTGCATTTCACCGAGTCCCTTGATGTGGTCTTTGGAACAGGAACGAGCAGCTCAGTCAGTGGGACAGCCCGATGCGCGTGAAGCTGTCAGTCTGGAAGCCACATGTTAGAACCTTGCTGATAGAGCTTCTCCCCTGGGCCCTGCTAATCAATCAGTCCCAGTGGGACCTCTGGCTGTTTGAAGGAGAGAAGATTGTTCTGCAGGTTCCTGCTGGCAAAATTATTATTCCTCCTAATTTTCAGGTACTATAACTTTTTTTAACTAATATGAATTCCTTTCTTTCAACAGCTAGCTTTTATTCTGAGGTTGCATTTATGTTCACAGCAGAATGAATCAGATGTGGGAAACTGTCCTCTGAGATGCACATGTAAGGGGTATGGAATGTTCTTTGATATTCAAACATCTCAGACGTCCTTTTTTGCCCATCAGCAGTATTCATGTTTGAGATATCATTAACTTTGATAACTTGTACTGTTACATTCTCATTTCCATTGTGTACTGGATGTTTGACAAGCATTAGAACCAGCCTGCTCAGATATATTAAGGCCATAGAGCCATATTCTGTGCTAACCGACCCCCCAGAGATCTGCAAGATGGTTAAGAATTGAGGATTTCTGAGCAACCATTTTTGTCAGGGCCCCCTTTTTAAATAAGTGGATTTGAATTCCATAATCATGATGCCCACCCAGTGTTGACAATAACATGGAATCATCACTGTCAGGGGGGGAAACCTAACCACAGACAGAACTTCACAGGAAGATTTATGTTCCCTCACAGGGAATTTTCTCAGTAAGGCTAGCTCATTTTAAAGGGCACATAAATCTATAAGAAAATAGAGTACAAGGGACACCTAAGTAACATGTTTTCCAGATAGGGAACAACTTGAGAGTTCTTTTTGGGGGGACTTCAGTTCATAAACATCTTTATTCAATTGCATTTTTAAAAAATAATCAAATGATGTTACCTTATGGAATTGGAATGTTGACCTCCATGGACCTAAAGTTGCATGTTATTCTTTTGTCAAATGAAATGAAACCTTCAGTTTTTAAGCCTTTGGTATTTATAGGGTAGTTACAGCTTGGGTTTGGTTTTATTCAGCTCTTCCATAAATATGAATTCCATCATGAATCAAAGAAAACAGTGCTAAAATAAA